ATTGAAATAATTTTAGCAGCCTGGAAGCTTTTGTTTTGGTACGTTTGCATATTTTAACATAATTTACATTTAGCTTACAAGTATATAGTAGATTTATAAATAAAAATATCCCCAAGGCGATTCGATAAATATCTTGAAAATAAATAACGAAACTAGTCCCATACCATCTCACCTTAATAAAATTCGAATTAAATTAAATTAGTGCTAATAGTTAATACAATTCTAATTAAATTAGGGCTAATAGTTAATACAATTCTAATTAAATTAGTGCTAATAGTTAGCTAAAATAAATTTAAAAGAAATATAACTTTCAGATAATTTTAGCAAAGTTTACTATACTGTGCCGCACTTTCTTCAAAATAATATTTTGTTTGGATATGTTTGCAATATGAGATGCCTAGCGAACAATATCTTCCAAATGAAAAAAGTTTATTTCCCTATAGAAAAGGCATGGATGTGGCTGCTCTAAGTTTTGTCCCTCTGTAGGTCATTTTTTATATCCCATTCCGAACCGATGCTTCCTTAAATTTACAAAGGTGCTTCTTTATTTTTCCCTTTTTTTAGTGGTAGATGGTTTGTTTTTTTTTAGTTTAAGGAATGGTTAACTGATATATACTCGTATATATACATACTTTAATTGTAGATTGCAGATTCGGTAACCATAAAGGCACTTATGATCATAAACGGACTTAAAACTTAATTATTGCTATGAAGTGTAATAGGATGTTGTTGTTCGCGAATAGCGACGGAGTTACGGCCTATTTAATAAATGGCTTAAGCCCATTGTTTGATTTAAAGTCTCCTCGTAGGTCTCGTGCGCAATATTATAAGTCTTTGATAGCGGCAATCTTGCGGCAGTTAAGCACTCTCCAGATGTACTCCCAGATCCCATTTGATTGCTTTATGAGTCAGGGTGGAAAGGCGGGCACATATGCCTTGTGGTATTGTTGTAAAAAAATTAAAGTAGCGCTATAAGGTGGCAGCCGTCCGTGTCAAAATAACAAAAACATAAAAAAGGCACGCGCATGTTTGCGACAACAACAACAGAGACAGTAACAACAATAAGAGCACGTCGTTGTTAAAATTTGTTAAACAAATAAAACTGGAGGCTGTGCGAGACTCTTCAGCTCTGCCTTGTCTTTCTGCAGTTCTATTTTGTTATCAAATTAAATGATAATTCGCAAAACAAAACTGCTTCCAGAAAATATCAGTTTTGCCTTGAGAGTTAGTTGAACTGTGAGAAAGTTTCATACACATATAATGGCATATGGCATTTGGAACGGCCTGTGATTATTGGATTGCTTATTTTGCTTACACGTGGCTTTTAATATCGAAGTACAAATAATGCCGAAGTCCATGTGGGACTTTGGAAACGTATCTTCCGCATAGATAAAATACTACCGTCATAAAGTCGCAATTAAATATTTACTTGTTTTGTGATCGTAATATAAATAATGCCCTTTTTCAAACAAAAAACACTTGCACAAAGTTGCTTGTACATATATACTAATAATGTATATAACTTCTAGCCTTAGAAATGTTGACAGCTTTACAGTTTTCTATTTGAGAAAAGATTGTTCAAAAATGTAGATAAGATTCTATAGGCCATAAATATGTATGTACATACTTACCTTATTTATGTTATAATAGGCAATGAATTGTAATACAGGGCGTTTGTAGTTCGTTATAGGCGTTCCTGTAAAAGTATCCGCCAGGTATTGTTTATTGATTTTATTTACAAACAATAAAAAAAACAATTACAATTTCTTCGCTATCTGATCTTTTAAATGGAGATACGGTTACACTGCTTAATGGTAAACTTTCTTTTAAAAAACAAATTAATTTTGTAGAAAACGAGAAATACACTATACTAAATGATATCAGAGACCTTTCTTTATCAATACTATCACAAAAACTTATCTGAACGCACACTTGTTAATGTTTAATAAAGTTATGTGGCTTTTTCGAAGCCTGATAATGATCAGGATTCTAACGAGCCAACAACGCGTCCTCCAACTGATCGCCAATATTAACCAACACTAGGAACCAACTTGTCTATGCGGAACTGACGTTCGTGGTCACCGGCCTAAGCTAACTTCTTCCAGCAAAATTGCTATAAATTCCCTTAATTCAGTTATAAGCATTTGTTCTGTACACAAAAAATCAGTATGAATCACGTACTATACATACGAATATGTAGTATACATTTATCATACCAAACAATCGATTCTGTCAAATTAGTAACAATTGTTTTTTAAAAGTTCCTTTTCCAGTTAAGGTGATTATGAAATGTTTTGCTTACCTTTCACATATATAATAGCTTCATTATAGACAACAACAATAGTCGCATGTTTAACCTTCAGCGTTGCAGTGGCGAGCAAATAACAAAAGTCAAAATCTAGATATAATTTCATTTTGAAACTTGTTGTGCAATGTTTAATTGCAACGACGGAAGTAAATCACGTGCTGAGCTTACTAGCAATTCTTGTTGAGAGTGCAAGGCAAATGGAGAGCGAGACACAGAATGAGAGGAGAGAGGGAGAAAGAATGGCGGCACAGTTAGTTAATTGGAAAATAAGCCGCATCGCAAATGACGTTAAGAGACATGCAAATAGCGCAGGCCAAAATCTTCACATGCGCATATATTTTAAATATTGCGCATACGCGGCGTATGCATAACTCAGTGGTAGCTGTGAGAAAGTACAAGTAGTCGGTGTTGCACAATAACAATTACAACAACCAAAAATGAAAGAACAGCAACAAGCGAATAAATGTTCGTGTGTGCGTGAGTGTCGCATAAAACAATGAAAACGCCAAACAACCCCTGAAACAACGACAACGAGCAGACAAATTCAAATTAACGACAAAATTGCTTAACTCGTTAAACGGCCTAATGTAATATACGAACACACATACATACACACACATATATATATACGTATACGTAATGTCCACTCGAGCGCACGATGCGTTGATGAAAATGTTCAGCTGAGCTGTCAGTGTTGCCCTCCCAAATCCAATTGAGAGAAATGGGAAGAGGAAGAGTGCGAGAGGGAAAGAGCAGCTTAAAAGCTCGGACATAGTTGCCAATTACTTGTCGCCATGTATGTATGTATATATATATGCGCGTCTAGCAATTGCATGGCACGATCATATTTTGTTCTCAAAAAAAAAAAAAAAAAACAAAGCACGGGACTCAAAAGTTCAACAACAAATTCTGCCCTGTGTAGGCAATTGACAATTCGGTTTATAACCACAGTGGTTTAGAAATAGGAACGAAAAACTAGTGCTTTAATCCAGACCGCAATTGCCAGTCCCACATAGACTCAATTTGGTCTTTAGTAATATGTTAGTTCTTTTGAAATTTGTAACATTTCTCTAAGTGTATTCTAATAAGTAATCTTTTTGCTTAGAAACTTGGGGAACATTGAATTCAACACTTAGAAGTTCGCTCCAGTAAGTAGCTTAGTAAACTAAAAAGTTTTTACAAAAATACCTCTTTTTTAAAAGAACACATCATTTATGGCAGTTAAGGTATTAATTGGTCCGATCGGTTCCTTGATTTTAATGAAACGCATCGAAATGGGTCGAAAATTTAAGTTTTATAATAGTTCTAATATCTTTGCAAGATTTTAATTTAAAACGGCTGTTTAAATACATTATTTTATTAATATAAGCAAAAATATGTTAGCGAAACTGTATGTATAATGAAATAATTTGTAATCCGATTACTGTTACTGAAACTATTCAATACCTATCACATTTAATAAAAATGTATGGATTTAGAAAACTTTTGTAACCTTTGGATATAAAATAAAATGGATATAAAAAATAACATTTCCAAAGTTTTCTAATAGATTGAATTGAATGAATTGTATTATGACATCGTTGTGTACCACAGTGCTTGCAATTACCCTGCCCAAGCTATTGAACCCAACTATTGTCAACAGTTTTAATGCCCCAGACTGGTTCCAACTGTTGTGGGTCAAACAGTAGTTTACTCCAATCGCCATGGGCGTCATCCACTCGTAAAGCTACTGTTTCCTTTTGTTTCAGCTGCACTGAGCAACATGATTAGAAAGATCATTTCGAATATATTTATGTATTTAAATATTTAAAAAGTAAGATTGTAAACATTGAAATAGAATATTTCCCAAACTCAATAGCTGGAGATTTAGAGAACATATTAGAATTCGTCAAAAGCAGATATAAGATTACACGCAATACCTTTTACGTTTCTTCAAAGATTAAAAAAAATTCTACTGTCCTTGGTGTCTCAAAAGCCAACGAGAGTTTGATCGATTGGTATTTTAAAATATATTATTTAAAAAACTAATCTAAGTAACAATTCCTACAGAAATACAAACAATATTTCGACATTTTTCTCACATCTTTATCAATCAAATTTTTTTTAAAAAACTGCATTGATTAAGTATGTCAACAGTAGGCCCGGAAAAATTAGTCTTTGTCAAAAACACCATTTAAAAAGAGCTTTTTCCAATATAGGCAGAAGTAGTACAAAGGTATTCAATTCTTTTGACTGGAAAGAAGGAAATATTATAGTTAAAGCATTGATTTTGCGAAATCGGGAATATATGAAATCCATTTCGATTTTGCATACATGTAATTCAATTCCGCTGAATATTGCCTGCACGCTTATTCGACCTTGATTTTGGGTTTTTAAAAAATGAATCCATTTGGCAATCTTGTGGGTTAGTGTTGTCAGTTAATTTAAAGACGTCCGCCTTCACTTTCCTCCTCTCCATTGGGTCATCTTGCTCTCTCACTATCTCTCCCGCTCTCTTCCTCACTCTCATGCTCAAAATAAAAGGTGCGTGATATGCGGCCGCTATTTGTTCTTCCCGCTGTTGTTATTGTTGTTATTATTTCTCGCTTAACATTTTTTTTTTTGCTTCTGCTGCTATGCTGTTGTTGTAGTTGGCGCGACGAGCTCCCAAGTCAACGGCGTCGCTGAACACAGTCGACACGACCAGTCTTGGTTCAGCGGACTAACAAAACAGACGCTTTTAGTTTCCAGTGCTCTTTGTCGTTATCTCGTCGCTCTGAAAGCAAAAACTCAGTCGCGAGTGCAAGTGCAAGACAAGTTGAACCAAAAATAAATTGCAATCTTAATTATCCTGTAGTGAAAGGAAGATGAGCCACCACTGGGGTTACACCGAACAAAATGGTGAGTGGCCTCCGCACATTTCGATTTAATGCATGTTTTTTATTTCCTTTTTTGTTTACTTCGCTCTTTCGCCGACTTTGCAGTCAGACCTTCGCATGTCTAATCAGAGACGGTTGGTCTGGGCTTGTCTGGTGGCTGGCCTCCGGTCCAGCTTGAATCACGTGCACGCTGCGCCTGCGTGTACTCGCATCTGTGTTTCAATTTTTGGGAAAGTTGTTGAAAGCTGTAACACACGCAGTTTTTCGAAGTTGTTGTTGGTGGTTTTTTGGAGTTTTGTACACAGAGGAAAAAAGAGATCAATTTTTGAGCTTGTTGTCAAATTTCAATTTAAATTTTGCACAGCGCTAAACTTATCTTTTAATATTTTCTCAAAAGCAGTTTAATAAATATATCCAGATATTACAGTACAAATTTTCTAGCTCATTGCCAAATGTTCATAGCTTTTTAAACTATGAATTCTTATATTTTTTAATATTAATTACTCCCATTGGAAATTTTCCATTCCAATTCAACTGTTCAAAGTTCTACTACAAATTCTGATTCATCATCAGTAAGATCAATAAAAAGGCAATAATTAAAGTTAGAAAATATCACACTACTATTTTTTTTCCTAGTGTATTATCATATTTGTAACTGTAGACATGTATGCGAAAAACATCAGTTATCTGAATAACTTACCAAAAACACGGAATAATTTTAATAGATAACTTTGTTTTTGTAGAAGGGTTGATAAATCAAAGCGTCATTTGTAGCAAAAGATTTTACAGACTTTGTTTAATGAATTGTAAAATGATAAGATATAGAAGAAATTCTTGGTCATAGGCGTCACATTTTCAGGTTTGTTACTCATATGGCTATATGGGCGAACGACCTCTCAAAAAATAAGCTTATAAAACACAGGGGAAATTATAGGAAACAGCAGCAGACACAATACATACATAAACAATTGCTGACTAATTAACGCATTTGGATTACGTAGAAGTTAACGATCATTTTAATTTCACAAGAACATTAAGTGCAGACACTTAACAAATAACTAAATATAATAATGACAATGGAAAAATTTTGTCAAAATTTTCAAAATGGCAGTATAACATTTTTTGGATTATATAATCGTATCGCTATAATTATATTAAAACTGAAGGTGTTTAAGGAACAAGCGATTCATTTTCCTCATCGAATTAGAGACTTTAACCCTTTGATCAAAATTTTTAAAACGATATTTTCCAGTAGAAATGTAAACTTTGTATGTTAATATTCAACAAAGAGTTCGTTCAGAAATTCACTAACTGTAGTTTATTTAATATGTAGTTGTAGTTTTTATGAAAAACCATACATTATAGATAAGCCAGCATTTACAATTATGCAATCGAAAACTTTATCACAATAAAATGAAAAAATATTGTTGCCTCTTAAATTTCTATATATTTTTATTTTACTGTTTTATTTGTGCTTAGGTTACTAAGCATGTACGATTTATGTACATAACAATATAATCATCTTGAACATTTTACATTCAGCTGGTTTACACCCACAGGCATTTATCGATCTTATGTAATATTTAACTTTTGTCGTGAAATTACCTTTCTGAACCCATTTACCGTTGAACTTACAATTTTTAAGGACAAGCTCTACCAAGTTAGTTGTCAAATTTTGTTTTACAGGTTTTGGAACACAATTTCGTTATTTCTTTTGATGCCTTCATTTAGTTGGGTTGGTGATTTACATATCAAGTAAAGGGTAAAAATAAAATGTCCACAACGAGTCTGTCTTGGACGATTTTCCTGATCAGAAAAAATCCCGATCTTGACTTTAGGCTTTTAAGATTCTCTTCGTTGTTCGTGTAGCGCAATCTTGGGCAATGCCTTTTAATCTTAATATTATAACTTTATTAGTTCAAACACAAGCAACCGCAATAAATTCCAATATGTGAAGCAACATGCATGGTAGTTGATTGGGGATATTGGAAAATGCCAAGATACCTATCTATGTATGATTATTTAATTGCAATTGATTTATGTATGTATGAGTATTATGTGTGGATATGAAACTCGAGTTCGACTTAAACCAGTCAAGTGCATTGCCAATAATACCCGACGCTCATTAATGACGCCACACGCTTTAATTATAAAGTTACATGTGCCATTTGCACAACAACAACCACACCTTTAATCAGAGTAATAGACACGTTCGGCGTACTCATGAATATGCGAGAGAGGCAGATAGAGAGAGAGTGCGCAATAATCGAAGTTTACTCGTATTTATGGTTTATGGTCGATATCGGTGCGGTGTGCGGGGGGCGCCAACGGCTACGATTGCGAATTGAGCGGCAAGGGGTCGCACGAGTCGCGTCTCGTGATCGACAGACACCGTCGGCAGACTGCAAAATAGAAATGTGCGACGGCGTCGCGTCATTCAAGCGTGGAAACAAGTTCTCGTTTCATACGAATTTGTTTCGTTTAGTTTTGACTCTTTTGCGTATTTACTTGTATTCTACCATTTTTAATTTATTGTCGTTTGAAGGCAGTTCGTTTACTTGCTGTCTGGTCAAGTGCGCAGCGACTCGTCTCTTAAGGACACACACATACCAGAAAGCAAAACCGGTTCGCAGCCAATTCGGTGGTTCTGGTTCTTGGCTCATTGTTTTGTACAGTTGTGGAATATTCCTTTCTGTCTATAAAATCTACCAGTTTGTTTGTCAATCAGAGAAATTGTCAGACTCGCCTTAAATCACATTATGCATGATACCATCATACACATAAATAATATAGGCGAGTCGTCAATAAAGTCATATATGGATCTCATAAAAACCGATCTACATACATATGACTGTGAATTTCTATTTTGCTTCTTCATATTTTGGCAATTCATTTTCATTGGTTTAAATGCCGTTAATTGCTTTGATTGATTCGCTAGAGCGCTGAAAACTTTACCAATCAACTTCCCAAAGTCCACGAAAATTTCAAGTACTATCCAAAGCCAAAACGGTTGTCTGTCCGTAAAGCCCACTTAAGTGCATCCATAAACCCACAAGTGCTTACAGATTAAACACTTCTCGGCTTTATGGCTATGGCGCCCGATCTCTTATCAAATCTGACGCACAGTTCGGCGATCCGATTACATTTCACCTCAGAGCGTCCAATCAAAAGCTGTACAAAGCTCATCATTTTATTATTACTGGCGCACTTATATATTTTAGATTATTCAGATTGCATTTTTATTTCAATAACAGATTCTATCAAACGCTACTTAAAGCGTGATTATCTACATGGCTATAATAATTTTCCACCAGCTGCGATAAGTATTTTGGGCAGAACGAATTAAATAGATCAAAGCAAATATGCGATAGCAATAAAGCAAGATTCTAGATTAAGTTTAATTACAAAATGGTGCTATATACAATTTGTACAGGTAGATGAAAGAAAAAGTATCATCTAGTTGAGTCGTGCCAATACATTCATAGTTAAGATTTATTTTAAAGGGATAAAAAAGGTTATACGTTAGTTGATAACGGCCAACTATTTTATTAAAACAACTAGACATTATATTCTTAATTCAATGCAATGCAAAATTTTAAAAATAAGTTCTTACCCTTATTGTGATAGTATCTTCTGGGTACGTTGTACACTACTTCAAGCATTTCCAAACACTTCACGATCATTTTTCTTAGAACCTTTTCGTTTATCCATGACGCGCGTGTCAGAACAGGTTCAATTCGATTTCTTGTTCTTATTCTCTTGATTAAATCATTTTATTTTAATATAAATCTGCTTTTATTCAACCTCTTGCAAATGATAAGGAATTTATAAATATAAAACAACAATTTTGGCAAAAACATTCAAAAATATTTTATTCAATGAAATCAAATTGTATACATTTTGTAAACATAAGATGAAATGATTAGGTCTGTTAGGTGATTAGGAATGGAAAGCTTTATGTCTATTTTTTTCAGTATAGCCTTGAAACATGCGAGTATGCATGAAAACTGATCGTGAGCCTGGCAACATTACTTATATTAATGGGAATTCTCGTATATAGTGCAATCAGAATCCGTAATCGGAAACCAGACTAAGCGATGTGGGAGCGTGTTTATTTAGATGCCGCCCAATCGATTTGTAGATTAATGAACTTCACAGATATGCTAGCGATATTAATTCTTAATTTCCCATATGGCATATGTTTAAGCTAGAAAAAAGCTTTTTAAGAAAGTTTAATATGAAATGAAAGCTTTTACCACTAAGAATTTAGATAGTCTTAAGTTTGTCTCTCTGTGCCTTCACTTATAATTGTGCCTTAAAACTTCCGACAATAACTAAGATCCATTAATTTCAAATGTTACCCAATTTAATAACTAAGATTTCTAATTAATACTCTTCATGTATAATATTTTTCATGCAATTTCTATATATACATAAATGTACATATATTTAGCGAACATGAGATAACATTTCTTATTTAAGCCATTAACAAATCGAATAGCGAAGAGGAACACGCTTGTTTAAAGAATGTTAGAAGAATTGTGGAGCTCAGGTGATTTTCTTTAGTTTCATAATAATGCCTTTATAAACGTTATTGCAATTAACGGCCAAATAAATACTTTATGTAAGACCTTTTCCCTTGAACTGCTTATCTGATATATAATTTTGAAATCAACTATTGTTGATTCTTAGCACGCAATAACGTTCACAATTGTAGAGATGATTGGTTAGGGTCACAGATCAGTCTGAGATGATTGATTGAATAGGAATATCTAAAACCAACTAACTTATCATAAACGTAATTCCTGAAGAAAATGTTAGTTGCGAAAGCATTACTTTTTGTAACACTTATTAAAATAAAATACATTTTCAGTACGAAAAGCCTCTTTGATTTGGAATATAATTCTAAAATGAAATAAACTTTTGATAAACTTTTCAAAACTGCATGGCTCTCAGCAAAATCGACAGCTAACTTGTGTTCAGTGATTTCTGCTGCCTCAAAGTTTGATGCCATATACTTGT